GCCGATATATCTGTGCATTCCTAATTATTATTATTATACAGGATTTATATAGCGCCAACAGTTTGCGCAGCACTTTACAATATAAGGAGGATATTAGAATCACAGTACAATTCATGACAAGATGGTAAGGAGGGCTAGATCATGTTTAATGCCACTTTTCCAATATCACAGAAATCTACAGGAGCAGTTCATTGGAAGAGTTGCATTAGCCTTTTCTTCTTGCTGTCTTTAACACGTGGAGACGTGGTGGAGGAGAGGTGGAATCATACGGGTAGGGTAATCTTAGACCTTGTACAGGTAGCTGAAAGGGTTAATATTCTGCGCTCACCACAGGTAGAAGCTGCCAAAAAAACAAACTTTGAAGGTTTGTCTGGATCTGGCCGTATCTTGTCCTTGTAGATGACACCGACTCTTTCATTTCATGTCAGCATTGAAAATTCAGGATCCACATTTACTCGGGAAGCTCAGACTCCCATCGGATTGACAGACACAAGTCAGAGCGTGTTCGAAAAAAAAAAAGCAGCCAAAACAGGGACATTGGGAGGACTGAGGAAGGAAAACAAACATATGAATAAGTAATGGTTGAAGTGGAGGATGGCGCGGAGAACAGAACAAAGCAGAGACGGGGAATGGATTATACAAACATCGGAAATATCTCTTCTTTTATAAAGACGATGAACTCAAAAGAAAAAACTGATGCTGGAGTGGTTCACATGTATTGTCAAGATAGTAAAACGATTACTTTTCATACTTCAGCCTTAGTCTGTCCTTCCAATAATTACCTCCAGTTTTATGTAAATGCGACTGCTTTTTCTAACATTATCTTATGCGCTTTACGGCGTGTTCTCACCATGTCCGTAGAGTTGCATTTTTCTGCACATCTATGGTGTGGACAAGGCACATAGGAAACAATTGTTTTCATGTGCCCTATTCACATCATAGATGTGCAGAAAAATGCAACTCAGTGGACATGGTGTAAGCAAGCCCTTATGGCCAAAAATATGTGCACCGCCTTCCAAGTGATGGAGTTCAGTTGTTTCCAGTGAAGGGTTCTGCTAATGCTACAACATACAAAGACATTTTAGACAATTGTGCACTTCCAATCTTGTGGTAAGTTTGTTGAAGGCCACTTTCTGTTCCTGCATGACTGTTCCCCTGTGTACAAAGCCAGCTCCATTAAGAGATGGTTTGCCCAGTTTGGTGTGGAGGAACTCGAGTGTCCTATACAGAGCCCTGACCTCAAACCTACTGAACGCCTTTGGAATGAATTAGAATGCCAATGGCGAACCAGGTTTTCCAACCCAGCAGTAATACCTGACCTCACAAATGGTCTTCACTTTAGAGTCGGGATGCACGGATACCAAGTACCATACTCGGTACAAGTACAGATACTTTTCCAGCTCCAAGACTAGACTACAGAAAAATCCAAAACTTAGGAGGCAGCTGTCATTTGTAAGGCGCACACGGAGCTCCTGGGATTTGTGCATCCCCATTTTAATGCTTTTTGTTTTTTTATAAATATATATAAAGGGATGCACCGATACCATTTTTACAAGTACCAATACTTGCCCAAGTACTCACAGATACAAGTACTGATACATTTTTGTTGTCATGCGACAGTTTTTCTAAAACAATACAGACTAATGATTTTAGGACAGTGGTGGAGCACCAGAGCCAGGTCCCAGCTGCAACCCTGGTAGTTCTCATGAAAATGCCAAGTATCGGCGCATCCCTACTTTAGAGCTTCTTCACACCTTGTCCATTGAGTTGAGTTGCATCTTTCTGCACATCACCGCACATGTATGATGTGAACAGGGCACAGAGAAAACAATTGTATTCTCAACCCTACAGAACTTCTTTTGGGATGAATTGGAACATCTCTCGAAAGCCAGGTCTTCTCATCCACCATCAGTACCCGACCTTACAAATACTCTTTTGACTGAATAGGCGCACATTCCCACAGACACACTGCAGAATCTTGTAGAACGCCTTCCCAGAAAAGTGGGGATTGTTATAGCCACAAAGGGAGGCCAAACCATTTAACGGCCATGGTTTTGGAATGGGATGTCCAGCAAACTCATATAGGTGTGCTGGTTAGGTGTCCACAAACATTTGGCCATGTAGGACTATATTTAACATATAGTGTATGATCTAAAATAATATAATGAATTCTATGGTGATGGATCTATTGGGGAGCTCTCTGCACTTTGAATTCCTGTGAGTTTCTGGGTCTACACACCTGCCATCACTTCAGCTCTGCCATCAATTTCCTACTTTTTCATTTGCCTTATAGTGTGGTAGATCTGGACTTATCCACAAAAACCAGAGTCCTAGCTTCATCTAAGAGATGAAATCTGGTTGTTGTGGCCATCTGCTGCCCTATATTAGCCCCAGTGTTTGGAGATCCTGCCACTGGTGTCCCCAAGAGACTGGAGAGCCCGAGTCATTGGCACCTGACATAAGCTCATAAATAATTTTTTCACTGACCTAACCTTTTATACTGCCCCTGACTTGGCTTTCTTTTTGCCCTTCATGTTGCCAATACAATTATGGGTTAGTGCAGAGCCTGCCCTGCAAGTGAGAATATTTTTTGACTACTGCTTTAACTACTTCAGTACCGGCATGTTACACCCCCCTCATTGCCGGGCCATTTTTCAGTTCTCAGCGCTGTGCAAGTTTGGCTGAGAATTTTTTTACAATATAAATTCAAAAATGTTGAAAAAAAACTGTTTCTCTTACTTTTATCTGTAAATCAGGTGATCTGATTTTTTTGTGCTGCAATTTTCTGGAAATGAAGACACATGCCGGTATTGAGGGCGTTATAGCATGGAGCTTGGTAAAAATGCATCCAATAAATAGGGATTTAATAAATGATGCAATAACTGAGGGAGGTGAAGGTGTACAGGTCACGTACAGTGGGAGGATGGAGATGAAGGGGTTAATGTATCAATGTGCAGGATAAGGGAGGTGTAATGGTTAATATACAGGTCCGAGCATAGATAGATTGGATTGAAAAAAAGGAGGAAGGGGGAGGTGGGGGGGGGGGGAGAAGGGTTAAATTGAGTTGAAACCTTTTTGTTTTTGCTACTAGTGCAGCTTGTTTTCACTAGTAAGTAATTCATGGATGACTCATCCATTCATTACTTACTTTACTCTCCCCTGCCTCTGAGGTAAGAGGAAGGGGAGGGCTTGGTAATGTAAACATTGGCATGTGATCGCTGTGATAAACAATCAGCTCTGTGTGTTAAGGCGCAGCTGTCTAACAGCTGGTGCAGCGGCTGCAGTGTCAGCGAGCGCTCACGCGTTCATGGGGGGACGTATGCGTACGTCCTTCCAGAACAATCCACCAGCAGACCGGCTGTTTGAAAACAGTGGCCTTTCCAAGGATACCTAGTCATCCACCTAAAAAAATTGTGTATTAAAACAAAAAAAAATCAAGTATTTTAAATTCTTACTTGCAGTGTTTTTTTCCTTTTCAAAAATCATTTTTATTCACTTGCAATTCACCTTGGAATTTCCTAGAAAATTTTACTGCGCTAGGAGAGTCAAATTCCTAGCCCAGCCCCTTCCCTGCTTTGCACATCATAGCCCTTTCCTCTTCTGGGAGTGTCTTAACTACTCTCTGTGCTGGCCAAGCTCCTCCACCCCTCCCCTCATTTGCCTACATAATTTGTCATGTAGCTGCCAGTGGAGGAGGGATGGACAATATCATAGAGCAGGGGTAGGCAAACTTTGGCCTCTCCAGCTGTTTTGGAACCCCATAGGGAGTCCTATAATGCATTGCAAGACTCTGACAGCCATAGGCTCCCAGAGGCAGATGCATGGGATTTGTAGTTTCACCAGAGCTGGAGGGCTGAATTTTGGCTACCCTTGCTATAGTTTCAATGCAACGCCAGCTCTGATGCTGCTGGAGCCACTGTCATAACATCCAAGGTGGCGCCGCCCAGCAACAGTCTCTGGGCTTTTGGATGTCTACACAAATGTGCTAAATTCTCATATAATCTTATTGAAAGATTTTTGTCGAAATGAAAGGTCTGGTGATGGGGGTCTCGTCGCCAGGAAGTGAATATAAATATCGTGCCTTTGAGACAGGAAGTGAGAGGAAATCTCAGTGTGGGCAGAAATAGAAGTAAAATTGTGGCAGAGGTCCTCGCCCTTCTCCACTCTTCCAAAAACTAACAAAAAATGTTGGCCTGAGCTTTGCTTTATCGATGTACAAAAAATGAATTAGCTGCAAATCCTGGCGGGATATTGTCATATAGTTATCTATACATGATGCATTAAAATGGTAAATTTAATATGCAGCCAGTTATGCCAGGATGGGCTGAAAACATGACAGGCACTCTTAAAGTGAGCAGGCTGCTGCCAAACGTTCAGCAAGATGCCATTTTCTGGACGTGACCTCTTGTTGTTACCATCAGAAAACTTCCTGTATGTACTCGGAATAAACACACATTTCTGGGAGAAGCATAATTAAATTCATTTGGGGGTCAGCGGGCTCTTGACTTGTCATAGCAATATTTCAAGAGTTTCCACTTCAAACTTCTCATCCAGCTAATGTGCATGCTTTGCATACCGATTCTTTGATTTGTCAGGTAGCGGCAGGAATAAGTACGTGGAGCCGGGTAATCAGCGGGAAATTTCTGAGATTCACCCTCCTGTGTGACCTAAAGACAGCAATAGTGGGGGGGCTCTGATTCTAAAGCTAAACTCTGGACACAAACTTTGATTTAGATACACTCCTACGAATCCACTTTATGTGCACCAAATTAGCAGTGGCACCACAGCCTGTGCAGCGCTGTGGGTGGGATCCTGTCAATGGCTGGACTTCATGGATGACTTTTTAAACGTAAAAAGTGGGACTGAAATCCAACCATTGACAGGGTCCCTCCCACAGCTCTGCAAATCCAGCTACTGACAGGTTCACTTTAAGGTGTAAATATTGCTTAGTACAATAGTTTGTCTCTGTGTTAAGTGCCGTCTCTTTGTTTCCGCTACAGATTCCCAGTCAGAGGAGGAACCATCCCCCATGAAACGGCCTCGACTACTAGACAGCGACGAAGGGCCCAACCGCCCCAAACAGAAGAGCCGCCGCCGCTGCTACCGCTGCCAGATAAAACTGGAGTTGGTACAACAGGAGCTGGGCTCGTGTCGCTGCGGTGAGTTCCATTTTCTGGGGTACGAGGTGGGGATTCATACCCCCATGGGCCTTACTGATGTCACATATGCAGATCTGGTTGCCCACCAGGGCAGAATGTAGACAGACCTTGGAAGAGGGACAAACGCTGGTCTGTCGGGAAAGGGGGACTGTAATTTTTCACACACTCGCATACATTTTCGGCCAATTTCAACTACTTTTAGCCAGCTTGTGATTGCTAATAACATTGAAATGGATTAAAAGAATGAGGGCAACAATTCTATTAGCAAATTCAATTGACCAGCAAACTTTGGTCAGTTTTATGTAATGTAAGGGATTTAATACATTGACAGAATAATGGACATTGAATAAGTCTGATGGACAGCAATAAAATGTTTGCCGCATTTGATTGCCCTTTCTTCAACTGTTGCCCACCTTTGCCGCTATAACAGTCACAAGGCTTTAGAGTGTGTCTGTGGGAATTTGAGCTTGTTCAGCCAAAAGAGCACTTGTGAGGTCAAACACAACTTGTTGGACATTGGACATCCCACCCAACTCTAGGATTCTGTCTCTCGGACTTTGTGCCCATATAGCCTAAACAGCATTTGTGAGGTCAGGTAGTGATGTTGGATGGGAAAACTTGTCTCGCAATCAGCGTTCAAATTCATCCTGAAGGTGTTCAGTAGGGCTGAGTCATTAGGAAATGAAATACTTGGTGTTTTGAAAGTCTACATTGCACAGTTACACTATATGGCCAGAAGTTTGTGAAAACCTGACCATCACACCTATATGAGCCTGTTGGCCATTAAGAACCAGAACCATGGCCATTAGGATGAAATTGGTCCCTCATTTGTGGCTATAACTGACTCCATAAGTCTGGGAAGGCTTTCCACAAGATTTTGGAATGTGTGAAGTTTTACCCATTTGTGAGGTCTGTTACTAATGTTGGATGAGTAGAGCTGGCTTGCGGTGGTGTACAGAAAAATGCAACTCAATGGACATGGTGTGAAGAAGCCCCAAAGTGAAGGGCATTTGTGAGGTCAGGTATTACGGCTGGATTAGAAGACCTGGTCGCCATTAGCGTTCTAATCCATCCCCAAGTTATTCAGTAGGTTTGAGGTCAGGGCTACGTGTAGGGTATGCTTCCGCCATGTCTTTATGGAGCTGGCTTTGTACACAGGGGCACAGTCATGCCGAAATAGAAAAGCGACCTTCACCAAACTGTTACCATAACATTAGAAGTGCAAAATGGTGTAAAATATATTTGTATGCTGTAGTATTAACAGTACCCTTCACTGTAAAAACACCTAAACTCAATCATTCGGAAGGGGGTCCACATACTTTTGGCCATGGAGTATGCTTTCTCCAGGGATGAAGAGGACAGATACTGCTGCTCATGTTATCTTCTTGGTTATATGGCCTGTTATAGAGGATTTGCTTTGGGCATCCCTTGTGCCATGTTTCTTTATACTGTTCTGTATACTGCTGAACCTTCACCTTGTAAAACGTGTTAATAGTCTGTTTACTTTCTACCTCCAAGCAGTATTTACACCTTCCAAGAGCCAGCAAAGTCTGATGCCGCCTATAAACAGCTCAAGAGGAAGGGATTCTGACAATTTAAGTAACAGTTGTGATTATGGGACCTTGTGCAGAGGGCAGTAACACTTCAGGGATATAGATGTGCTCATCATCATGCAGGAAGCTTTTCCAGCTTCTGAAGGTAGTGTCAATCCACACACAGCAGTACAACCAATGTAATGCCTTAATTAGTATAGGGCAAAAACAAATTACACATGTGGCAAACAAAGGAGCCTTGTCCAGATCTTTGGAAATACTCCCCCCTCTCCACCTGTGCTGCATCTCTAAAATGTAGTCATTCCTCCCTCAAGGAGCCTCCATACTTCCTTGTCCATGCCCTCCTAACTTCTTCCTGTTATTATGTCAGCATCCTCCCTGTCTGATCTCCTAATAACAAGACTCACACTTCTCGTCTACTGCCCCTCCGAGTCTTGTCATAACATTCTGGGAATACGCTTCCACTTATTAAAGCTTTACCATGAAAACACTTCTTAACTTAAATGATAATACCGCTGAGCTCTCTGCAGGTCATTGCCTTCTGACAATACTCTGCCCTGCTGAAGGACTCCTCTCAAAGGCTTTGTACTACTGGAGGACTCTGCTCCTTCTCTATCTACCTCTTCTCTCCTAAAAAAAACTCTGCTCTGCTGGAGGACTCTGCTCCTTCTTCTATATAACTCTCCTCTCCTGAAATACTCTGCTCTGCTGGGGGACTCTGCTCCTTCCTCTATAACTCTCCTCTCCTGAAATACTCTGCTCTGCTGGAAGACTCTGCTCCTTCCTCTATAACTCTCCTCTCTCCTGAAATACTCTGCTCTGCTGGAGGTCTCTGCTCCTTCCTCTATAACTCTCCTCTCCTGAAATACTCTGCTCTGCTGGAGGACTCTGCTCCTTCCTCTATAACTCTCCTCTCCATAAACACTCTGCTTTGCTGGAGGACTCTGATCTTTCTCAGGGACCTCCATTCACACCACATATCCAAATGTGGGCTTGAATGAAAGGCAGTATAGTTTTTTTTAATTGAGGGAAAAAGCATCAGGCAGGCACCAAGAAATTCTGAAGTCTGCTTGTGTTGGTTTTCTGCACTATTCACACCATGCTTGCCCTTCGTGTTGTTTTATTGGATGAGCTCGGATGTGTTATGATAATGCTTTGTAGGTACAGACAGTGGTCATTGCACAGGGACAGTTGTATGGGGCTGTCTTTAGAAGCTTCTTTCCAGTAAAAGTTCTGCAGATTGTTTATTCTGCCTCATTATCGGGGGTCACCACAGCGGACAGAAACATTTCTGATTTATAGCTTAATAATTACCATAAAATGCTCATCAGAACCGATTAGCCTGAAGCCTAAAAATCATATTAATGAGATTATAAAGTTCCGTCATTAATTTGCTAATATACGGTTGCCCTGGAAATCCAGAGGATGACCTCAGAAAAGGGCCCTCAGGAATCCTTAGTCTTGCCCCCAACATCTGCACTATCTTCCTGGGGCCCCTTCTAATGAGCGTGACCTAATCTCAAACCCAGAAACCATTTACAGTCTATATTTATTACAAGGACATCCATCAACTATACACAAAGGCAAATCCCCTTCCTGCAGAAGTATGCCCATCTATGTTTATTAACGTTTACATAAAGCAGAACTCCGGGCATATGAAATGTTAACCCTTGCAGTGGGGTTAACCCCCCCCCCCACACACACACACACACACACACACACACACACACACACACAGTGTACGGGATAAGTGCTCCATGGAGCTAAAATAACAAAGTTATACTCAACCCGAACCACGATCACGTCAGCCTTGCTCCTGCACCTTGCAAAGCTGACTTCCAGCCTTCTCAAGCACATCCGCACCCCTCCTCTAACTTATCTCCCCACATCAGAATTATTCTCGCCAGGCTGCGTGCCGATCTCACCCGGGCGACGTGTGGATCTCTGCAGGGCTCTGCGGGCAGTTCCTATGCCTTGAATATGGAGTTGACCCCCTTTGTGGGTATAGCAGCCTCCTCTCTTCTGGGAAGACTTTCCACAAGATTTTGGAGGATGTCTGTGGGAATTTGTGCCCATTTGTAATGTCAGGTACTGATGTTGGATGTGAAGACTTTGTTCATAATTATTGTCCCAGTTCAGTAGGGTTCAGGTCAGGGCTCCGTGCAGGACATTGGAGTTCCTCCACACCAAACTGGCCAAATCATGTCTTTATAGAGCTGCCTTTGTGCTCAGTATTGCTGGAAAAGAAAAGGATCTGCCCCAAACTGTTACCACATTAGAAGTGCACAAATGTCTAAAATGTCTTTGTATGCTGTAGTATTATTGGCACCCTTCACTGGAAGATCTGAAGTCATTTAGTGTCCACATATCATATGGTAGATGGTGATGGCCAGGTGTTCACAAACTTTTGGCCATGTATAGTATTTAAAGAAGGAACCCAGCAAGTGAGTGTCATGTAGCACCACCCTAAGCCCTCCCTGATGATAGATCCTAGTGCAATATATGCGGCAGACACAGAGCTCCATGTGTACTATAATGCTAGCAAAATTAACTCCCATCCGCATGCGCAAGAGGTACGTCATCCGGCGCAGGTCAACCAAGATGGCGGAAGATGCTGAACCCTGAAGACCAAGGGAGGTTGCACATGTTGTGTCGCTGGAGTGAAGACAAGTTTAGTTGTAGTTTAGTCCTCTTTAAGTTTGTGTATAATAAATGGCAGTGCACTTGTTAGGAAAGGTCGCATTACGTATGATTCAACATTGTCCTAGAACTCCAGTGTCCTCATCCATTAGCGCTGCCCTGACGTGTTACAGCATCGGCCTCTCTGGCTGTGTGCGAGGGGGGGGGGCGAAATTATCGTTGGTCCAGAGCTTGTTACCCTGCCGACCAAGATGTGATAACAGTGGAATTGTCGCTTGCCACGGATCTCGGGCCTAATGAGCTGTAAAGTGACAATTGTAACAGCGAGTGACAAGGAGGGAAAAAGAACTGAAAACTCAATTTTACCGGAGTGCACGTGTTTTCGGAAAACAGCGCTGAGGGGCCCCGCTCCCCCCCCTCTGTAACAGGTTATTTAAACACGGACAGGAAATCACATCTCATAAATAATGCTTAAGAGCCCTCGCTATATAAATTGAACGTGTTGTGAATTGTGCTCGGCCCCTTTGTAGCGTTCGGCGCCTGAAGCTTCGAGAACAGAAGATGTCATTTTCATTACTTTTTAATGAGGTGCCAATTAATGGCAGAGCGGGAGCTCAGGAGAGACGAAGTCACCGAGCCCCTCGCCGCCCCCCGCTTCTTCACACCTCCCTGTTTTGTGCTCCGTCGTCCATGCATCTTTACCCCGGAGCCCACCGTGGGAACGCTGCCAAGCCCAGGGTAAGCGGAGAGACGGAGGGAAAGAAAAAAAAAAATTCATTAAATTACAATCTCATCTGCAGCGCATAC